CATTCTCCTACATTCTTTCTTTTTCAGGTGGAAAAGCTCTCTCTCTCTCTCTCTCTAATATCTCACTCTTTAGAGAAGAGAGAGAGATCATGGAATTCTTGTGCAGTTGTTCAGAAGTATATGAAAAAGCAGCACAACAAATATCTCTCAGTCTTCAAAAGTGGTGATTGTCATGTGTTTCTCAAGAGCTACAGGGAAAAATACAGTTTGAAAAAAGAAATTGAGAGTGATTTTGATTGAGAGTAACTTTTGATACAAGAACATCTCAATAATAATAAAAAATTCCTCGAGTATAAACATTCAAGAGCCCATTGATTTGGAGAGGAAACAGCATTAGTTTCTGATTTGATAAATGGCTAGGGGATTTGCCTACCGTGCCCGAAGTTTTTAAGAGCAAATTACATCCAAGGGGTGAATTCTCAATGAGTTCCCCATACTACCTTTTTTACTCTTTTGACATGTTAACTGGTTAGGATTGTTTTCCTGTGGCTTTTCAACCTTGACCACCTAAGCTAAAAATACAGAGCTTTCAAACAATTACATTAGGATATATGGAGACTATCATTGCCAAGGCGCAAGCATTCTCATGGATGTTAGGCCAGGGAAGCCTCTAATAATTGATGACTTAGGAAGCAGAGGAGCCACTCTTATTAATGTGTACATGTTATGCAAAAAACAATAATTAATGGAATTGCAATCTGTCTATTTTTACATTGGCATCATGCACACAGCCTATGGATCTTGTTGTTGCAGGGGACAAATAGACGTTATTATTCCCCATTCAACAAAACTTGGTGGTTCTACCACAAAAAGGATGCAACCTTATAACTATGGATGCCCCTAAAAAATCTTTCGGAAAAGGAAGTTTTAATGTTGAAAAACCCTTTGATTGATCATCTTGACATCGAAATATATGACTATAAAGAATAAAAAGATTTTAAGTCTCAGAAATAATTCATTTTACAATATATTATCTACACCGTCCATTTTCAAGATTTTCATATATTTATAAATCTACTTAATTTTAACCATTTTTTAAATTTAAAATTTTATAATTAGATATAAAAATAGATTTTGAGATAATCTTTAGAACATTTTACAGCAAAATTATATACCATGATAAAATTTGAAGGTGCACCTTACCTCTACACCTACCTACGGATGTATCTGTATGCTAACTGCACCCTTAATGGAAATCCCTGACAATAGTTATAATTCAAAGAGGTGATGTGGCATAAGACAATAACAAAGAGGGGTTGACAAAAAGTTCAAACTAAATTTTGATAGAAGCTCGCATATAACCTAACCAGAGTTGGGATAGGGTGAGTCCTTAAAGATTTTAAGGGTAATGTTAGGCTATTATGCTCGTGACCACATGGAATAGCCTCAGCCGATGATGTAGAAGTTAGAGCCTACTCATGCCCCATGGAGATTGATGTCATTGCCAAATGAGCTTGA